CAAAAACAACATCTCATATATTCTGGAAGTGGCCAAATCAAAGCCCAAATCGTAGCTCTACAGACAATTTGGAGCTCGGCTTGAAAGTATCTGTTTTCACACAGTTCCTAAGCAACATGCCAGAGCTGCTGTTGCTGTATTGTAAGAAAAAAAGGTAGAAAAGTACCAACAGTCACAGGTGCATTAACTAAACACTGACCTGAAGGTAGTGATTGTGTACACAGTCCTTTTCTTATTGTTTTCTTTTTGAGGAAAATTTTTGTTTGGTTGGTTAGTTTTGCAAATTCAGTCCCAAAATTCCAAATAAGACTCACCATAAATCCATAAAGAAACTTTTAGGGCAACACATTTCATTTGTTTATATTCTGATGAAAACACTCGAGCTAATTATAACCACGTTGTAAGCTGCTCTAACAGAGAACCCGAAATATCTTTTGATTATTTCCAACCTGGAGCAAAGCGCTGAACTGGATAATGTGCGAGCTCATATTCGGTTTTTTCTCTCTCTCTTTCTATTATTATAGACAAAAATAAACATAACAGATGCTTAGAACATTAACAAAACTGCCAGAAAGAAAATTACTCTGTATAATTTGGAAAGAACAAGTTTTTTGTGGGGCTTTTTTTTTTCTGCCTTTGGTTTGGCAAAGAAGCCACACACATGAATGTCAAGCAGAACATCGAAATCCTGTCCTGCTTTTCACAGCCTGTTCTTTATTTCAGCTTTGTCCCGTTTGAAAATTACACTCTACATGCTTTTTAGCTGCCATACTGAGAATTACACTTCTTAGACTGCACTTCACTCATTTTACTCTTTTACTGTTTCATACTTTTCCAGTTTGGTTTGTTTCATCCACCAACATTTTCAGGTCCCGATCCTCGGGTCGGTTTTGCTAACCATGCTAACCATGCTAACACAGATGCTAAAGATACTTTGTAATTTGAACTCCAGCTCACTTTGCATTTTATTTCTAATTAGTAAAACCCTATTTTGCACACTGTGTGATTTCATTTTAACTCTTCACGTAAATAGCGCTGGCTTAGTAATTATCTCAACATAAAACAGAGAAACTGGAATTGTTTCACAAGCTTTACAAAAACCAAAGATTGGAAATTGGTCATGATAACATGACACAAAAACGAATCATTTGTCAAACGTTACTTTGAAATCCATGTCCAAGGGTTCATGAAGAATACAAATAAAGTACCCAGAAGCATAAACACAAAAGTTTTTTGTTATTTTTTCTTCCCAGAGGATCTCCAGCTGGTTGAGACGTAACTGTGTGAACACTCAGTCATCATAATGGCCTGTCCAGATTATGCTCAGTCCACCGCCCACTAAAATCAGATTATTTTATTTGACTTGAGTGAACATGCAGACCAAAAAAATTGAATTACAATCCAATATGCTGGAAAGAGAATTTAATCACTTGTGTGGCCTTCCTTGTAGTTTCAGCAATCATTCTTTAAATAGCAAAACATTTTGGGGAGAAATATTTTTGTTTGTTTGTTTGTTTGTTTGTTTGTTTGTTTGTTTTGCGCTGATACCTGACACCTCATCAGAAATTACACAGACAAACTTTTTTTTTCTTTTTATGAAATGAACCTGAGCAGCTGAAACATAAAGTATTTAAAACAACATGTTGGTTAAAAAAAATATAGGACAGAACTGCTGACTGGGAATCCATATTGGACAGTAATTTCTTGTTTCAAACGTTTCGGACTTAAAAAGTAACATTTGTGGATTAAGCCACGTTTAATTTTTGTTTTGGGAACTGACGCAGTCGGAGAACGGATTTGCAGTTTATTTTATTTATTTATTTTTTTTACCTGAAAGATGTTAACGTTATCAAGTGAGGAAAAACTGCAACAAAATCCGTCTGAACTTGAAATAAAGTATATCCTCAGCATAAGATAATGCCTTCTCAACACAGGAATATCACCATCGCTTTTCACCAAAGCTTTGAAAAAAAAAAAAGGTTTTTCACCCATTGTAGTTACCATTGTAATCACAGTACAGTGGTTAAAAGCCACCTTGCATGACAGTTTGTCCGAAATGACTAAGATGTAAATGCGAATTAACATCAGGATTGAAGATGAAGAGGAAAGTCCCAAAGCAGGTAGTGAACGTCTCCGGGAAAGTGAACTGACATGTTCGCCCGTTCTATTCGTGTCCGATCCGATTTGGCGACTGAAGCTCAGTGAGGCTCAGTCTGAAAGAAAAGTTCTCTCAGCAGCTCGTAAAGATCGCCCGTGTTGTGTTTTTTTTTTTTTTTACTGTTCTGTCAGGAAGCCTGTTTTCAGAGCAGTTTTCATTTCATCACCAAATCAGCGCAGTGTGTAAAAGCATTGCTGGAAATGTGAAGCGTGTCAAGCAGATCGAGGTGGCCACTTGCTCTCAGC